TTTTTAAAGATGTTTTGCTTAACCAATTTGGGGCTTACAATATGAATATCTGGAGGTTTAGGTGGGGGTGGGGAAGGTGAACCTTCCCCGTCATCTATTTCCATTTTACCAAAATTAAAGACTTATCCTATAATATTTTTCTATTTCTAACGTGAACTAAACGAAACTAATAAAAGAAACAAACTAAAGTGTCTTTTTCACCTAGAAATTAGCAAAAATTAACTCTAAACTTTTACTTCGCAGTTGACAATTATCAAATTTTTGACGTTTTTTCCAAATAAGGACTTGTACTATTAGAAAAAAATTAATTTTAGTCATAATCTAATATTTTTTATTTAACATTGGTGGCGAAAGGACCTCCTTAAACATTTTCAATTAATATTTTACTTTATATTGAATTTAAAAGTGCTTTACTCTCCACCATAAATCATTACTTGATAAATTTTAATCTCAATTATTAATTTGTGACAGAACTATTTTCGTAAAACTATTTAATAACAAATTTTTTCATATCTGTCAGCTCTATTTTAAAGTTTCAATATTATTTTTAATGACCAATATGCCATTTGTTTAAACTTAGTAATTATTTTTTCATTAATATTAGGTATAGTTAAATAAATAGTACAAGTAGGTAGGTAAATCTATTTTAATTTAATATACAGTGTGTCCAATTAAGTCGGCACCATATTGGAATTTTTTTTATTCATTTTATCAAAAAATGTATTATTCATAAAAAGTTGTGCATGGTGTAAAAACTAAAATACAGCCATCATATATCAAATTTTATCAGTCGTATACGAGGTTTGTCAAAAATAAAGCTACTTTAACCTTGAGCAAAATTTATATTTTTTGATGATTCAGCTCAAAAAAATAAATATCTGATGGTTGTATTTTGAGTTTCAGACCTTGCAGAATTTTTTATAAAGAATAACTTGTTTCCATAAAACTAACAATAAAAAAGTTTCTCATATGGTGCCGACTTAATTGGACGTATATGTTGTGAAAAAGTAAAATCTTTTTATATTGTAATATAATTTATCCTCTTCATGTAGGTAACTTTTTATTTAATTAATAAAAAATTGTCATATATTTGCAATCCACGTGTAATTACATACCCGTTTTTATAAAGCGATAAAATAATTTTGTATCATCTTTTTATATTTGGACTTATTCTTCTGATAAACTAACAAAATAAAAATAATATACATATGGGTATTTCTCTAATAATAATTGGAAATTAGTCCATACAACACTGTTCCAATCATGTTTTTTCGGAAAATAAGAAACTAAATTTTCCAAAAACTAAATATGTATTTTCCAAAAGATCACAAAATTTCCTTTTACTTTGCAAGTTATAGACGATTTTGTAAAATTTCACGACAGGGTTTGTTATCTCATCCAGGGAATGTTATTATTATCTAGAGGAGTGTTATGAAAGAATAAAAAACATTTTTAATCAATGTAACACATTAACGTTTCATTTTATTTATTATAACTTCCGTGTTAAACAAAGTAATAATAACTGAACTAATAACTATAAAGTAGCAGTTTTTTCTAAATCAGTGCCAAAAAATGTGAGTTATGCTATTCGGTGCTACAATCAACATCTTAATATATCATTGATACTCTAACAAACTTTTATTAGTAACTACATAATTAAAATTATCATTGGCATTAATGGCTTACCAGGAAATCAGTTTTGCTGTAAAAAAAATATATAAACTTTAACTTATATTTAAAAATTTTAATTTAATATCGAGAAATTGCAAATTGATATCCGAAAAATCAGTATATCTGAAAAATAAGTGGCTAAAATAATTTGAAAATTCGGAAACAAATCTCAAAAATTCCCCTACGAATTATTTAGACCATCCCCGAACCCTAAAGGTGAAAACACATACTTGGAGATTAAAAAAAAGCCTGTCGTCTCTGGGATTCAAACCCAGAGATATTTGTTTTTTACACAAATGCCCTACCTCTAGATCATCACGAAAACTGTCGATATTTCTAGACACGGCATTGTTACAACAAACCGTGGGAAGACACTCTGAATCAGGTGTATTTTCCCGTATAAAAGTATTCGTAACTTCTTTCATTGCTTTTTTCTTTGCACGATGGGTTGTAAAATACTCTTTCCCCTTTTTTTGCAGTATTATGCTCACGACGATTCATATCTTTGACTAAATTTATTGTGCTCTTTTCTGTCTTCATCAAGTATTTGCGACGTCCTTTTTTTTCACAATTTCTCGTATCTTTTTAGGATATCTATACCTTAACCGTTTAGCAATTCTTTTTTTTTATTTTTGGGTGCCATTGCGAAGCACTTACCTACAAAAAGACCATATTTTGAATACAGGAAACTATATAAAATAATTTTATATAAATAAAAATTTCCTTGGTGTATTCGGTCGTTTTTATTTTTTATTATTTAGCACAGCACTACATATGTTTCGGAAAACTTTTCCATCTTCGGGTGTAGTCAAAATGTAAAAAAGATGGGGACGATTACAGTTAAAAATTTTTTAAAATAAGAGACCTCATCTTTCTTTTTCAGCGTGTGAAGGTGTATTCCTAAACAATAGAAAATAAAAACGACCGAATAAACCAGGAATACACGCGTGTGTGTGCGCGCGAGTGTGCGCGTGCCTGTGCGCGTACATGGGTGTGTGCATGTGCGCGTACGTGGATGTGTGCATGTGCGCGTACGTGGATGTGTGCATGTGCGCGTACGTGGGTGTGTGCGTGTGTGTGCGTGCGTGTGCGCGCGCGCGTGTGTATGTGTGTGTGCGCGCGCGCGCGCGCGCGTTTGTATGCGTGTGTGTGCGCGCGTGTGTGTGTATGTGCGTGTGTGTGCGTGTGTGTGTGCGTGTGTGGGCGTGTATGTGCGCGTGTGTGTGCGCGTGTGTGCGTATGTGTGTGCGTGGGGTGAGGGTGGGACGTGCGTGAGGCGTGTGTGGGGCGTGTGTGGAGCGTGTGGTGCGGTGGTGCGGTGGTGCGTATGGTGCGTGTGATGGTTGTGATGTGTGTGGTGTGCTGTGTGTGGTGTGTTGTGTGTGCGTGTGTGTGTGTGTGTGTGTGTGTGTGTGTGTGTGTGTGTGTGTGCAGGCGTGTGTGTGTGCGTGTGTGTGTGCGCGTGTGTGGGCCTGTGTGTGCGCATGCGTGTGCGTATGTGTGTGCGTGGGGTGAGGGTGGGGCGTGCGTGAGGCGTGTATGGGGCGTGCGTGGGGCGTGCGTGGGGCGTGCGTGGGGCGTGTGGTGCGGTGGTGCGTATGGTGCGTGTGGTGCGTGTGGTGCGTGTGATGGTTGTGATGGTTGTGATGTGTGTGATGTGTGTGGCGTGGTGTGGTGTGGTGTGGTGTGGTGTGGTGTGTGTGTGTGTGTGTGTGTGTGTGTATCCTCGATAACTCATGAACGGATACAAAGAAAAACACCAAATTTTAAACTTAAGCTTTATTCCCGCCTCCAGTGAACTGATTAGATTTTGTCGGAACATCTGGGGGGGTACTTTATAGGTGGTCATTTTTATATTTTATGGAATATATCTGTTATTTACGTTTGGAAAATAAAATTCTTTAAATAAAAGTTACTTATAATATTATTATTATCTATAATTTTTGTTTTATGCCATATTTTCCTGAATAGGTCCATATTCGAGAAATTTGACAGAATGTGCAAAATTCTGATTTTTAAGAAAATTGTTAAACTAAAAGTTGTTTGCGATATTAATCTCCATTATTTTTTGTTTTTACATGATTTTTCTAAAATGGACCGTAATGGAAAAATTGGAAGAAAAGTGCTAAATTTAAATTTTTCAGTATTTTTGTTTTTATTGAATATCTATTCTGTAACTTATATAAAAAATTTCAGTAACAAAGTGGAAATTAAATCAAAGAAATAAATGGATAGGTGTACAATAAGAAGAAAAATTACCTTTATTTTTGTAATAATAACAGTAATGCTGGAAATAGTAGACATCAGAAACTTGAAAGGTTTTAAATAACCAATAAATTATCATTTTACGATGTTCTTTAATTTCCCTTTATTCTTAAATGTTCATTCAGCAAGGACTAGATTTCAAAATTTCTGCCTTTGATTAATTATTTATATGTGGCTGGAATGGAATTTTGTGACTTACTAATGGGAAACCAGTTTTACTCATTCATTCTATGTTTTCTATCTAACAAAAATGAAAGTATAAAAATAACGATTCTTTGTTTATACATTTTAACTTCACGCTATTATTAAATGGTATTTTTTTATTTTGACAGAATATGCTAATTCTTCAATGACAACTTATTAGACTTAGGCAACTTCTCATACATTTTCCAGTAAATACTGTTGCCTGTCTATATTTTATTATTGATTTTTATTGATTATACATAATTTAAGCGATAAAAATATATAATAATAAATTAATGTTTTACTTGTTTTACAAATCCATATACTTTTATTAAAACTAACATATATACTTTTTAATTACGAATTCTATTAAAAATTGTATTTATTAGTATACGCAGAAATAGTCCATTAATACCAAAACGAATTGGCGCTGCTGTCGCGCACGGAGCGAATAGAAAAATATTTCGAGTTAGATGTATATGGAAAATGTATATATTTAATTTATCCTCTAAACATTTACAGAGGTGATGCAATAGGTTGTAATAACTAGATAGAAAAGTCATGTATTATATTTTTTTCATAAGGTAGGTATTGTAATCTGGAAGTCATAAATATCTTAGAGAGTCAAACCGTAACTTTTAATATTTATGAATATCAGCTAAATAACAATATTTACGTCTATAATATTTTTGAAGATTATGAGAATTCCCAGGTATCTCAAAAATTAGTTATAGAAAAACTTGCCCATAGACACTTTTAATTAGGAAATCAAAAACCGCAACATATATAAAATTCCGCAGATTCAACAGAAAGACATTTGCCATAAAGAAACAGGGGAGTCATTTCATTGAAAGTGATTTAATAATTATTTATTGTTTTAGGTTTTCAACCTTATGTTAGACCTTCATTCTTCATAGCCAGGCTTGTAGGACTTCTTGTCAGCATCTGTATCTCCCTCGTACTGTCTAGCTTGATTGCACTCACTGTACCAGTTTGGCTTGGCAGAAGTGTTATGTCACTTTGGCTAGTAGGAGCTCCACCACCAGCCCCACAAATATCAGCAACAACAGACGCTCAGACTGAAGTAAAAGTACATGAACTCTATACAGCAGCCTGTGGCCTTTATCTGTGCTGGTTAGCAGCTAGAGCTGTAAGCCTCATTTTGGGTTGGTTGCCTCAAGGCAGGGCAGCCATGATTGACCGGCTTAAACAGTGGTGTATACTCGGACTTAAAACAATTATAGCCAGCATTATTCTTCTGGGGATTATTCCTCTCTTATTTGGTTTATTGTTAGAACTTGTTGTTATTATACCACTTAGAGTGCCGATTCACCAAACTCCTATTTTATTTATATGGCAAGATTGGGCATTAGGAGTTTTATACACAAAAATTGCCTGTGCTATAACTATGATGGGTCCAGATTGGTTTTTAAGAGCTGCAATTGAGAGGGCTTATAGAGATGGCATACGAGACATGAATTTGACTTTTATTTTCAAAGAGCTCGCAGCTCCAGTTATAGTTAGTTTTGGACTTGCTTTAGCAATACCATACGTCATAGCTTACACATTTGTTCCAATATTTGTGACAAATTTACAACTTAGAAATTTTATAGCTAGAAGATTGTATCCATTTTTACTTTTAGTTTGTGCAATTACAGCTATCATAAATCTTCAGATCAGACAGTTTAAAAAACTATATGAACACATTAAGAATGATAAATATTTGGTAGGGCAGCGATTGGTAAACTATGATCACCACAGAAAAAAGACTCAAGCCTTAGGTTGAGGTGAAAATGGATTAATTTGCCACAATAAATGCATTTAGAATAAATACTTTTCTGGACTGAATGTAAAAATACATATTTTAAAAATTGTCATCTAATTTTTTTCTTATATTGCCATTGGCATAAATTGTATATGATATACAAGTCCTTTATTATTGTTGAGATTGTATCTAGAGTCAAATACTGAATTGTAATTATTATATTATTCAATTTAATTATATTTTAAAAGGATACCTAACATATTTATTAGTGTTCGATTGCGCTTTTTCTGTTTTAGTAATAATAATCTTTATTTCAGAAAATGCTAACATTGTTTACCTGTAGAAGAAAAATTTACCAAGTAATGAAATAACGCCATAGACAAAACTGGTGTAAAATACATACACTCCCATAAATTAAAAACAGAATTGTTTAATAGTTAAGGGAAGTTTAAAAGGTAGAAAAAGATTCTTTAGATCTCACAAATATATCTACTATCTTTGTAAGATCTAAAGGACCTTTTTCTGCCTTTCAATCCAACCAACTCACACATGACTACTCCAAGTTTGAATTAAGGGAAGTGTGAGAAAAAAATTATTGCCATATGGTAAGTGGGCCTCTCAGTTGAGCGTAATCTATTTTGATAAATCTTGCAAAGTTCTTATGTCAATAAATATAAACTTTAATCGCGATTAACTAAAATATCAAATGTATGCATACACATAACACCACTAATAAAATTAGCTTTACAATACCTAAAAACAACAATAACAACACGAAAAACCTTAAAAGTAATATGCCTAGATTAATGTTGGAATAAAACTAAGCATTATTAACAATATCCATTTAATATTACCTACCAATAATAGGTTTAAATTCTATTTATGAATATGGAATATTCCAAATTATCTATCTATCTGAATTAGGGTGTGGATCAAGGCCCACTCGTACCCTTACAGTGTTACGCCTTCAGGTTAATTTTCTTGATGAATTCAAGAATACGACTGATGGGCGCATTCGCGATTTCTTCAGGTTCCGGATATAGTACCCCGAAGTGCCATTCCCGTTACCATTTAAGGTTCTGACAGTGGCATAGTATGTGAGTAGGAGTTTTGTCCTCCTCTTCACATATTCTACATAGGGAGTCATCAGATATCCCTAAGATATTTAGGTATCTTATAAGGCCGCAGTGTCCCGTAATAGTCCTATTACGGTCTATAGTTCGCTTCTGCCAAGGTTTAGCAGTTGATTTTGTCTGCTATTGGATGGACCCTCTATGAATATTTTGGACTGTCTAAATCCAGGAAGTTCTCTGTTTATTCTCTTTTGCCATTTTTAGATGTTATCCCCACTTATAAAGTTCCTTCATTCCTTGAAGGTTCCTTTTTCTTGTGAATGCAACAACAGAGGTTTTCGTCGGGTTTTAGGCACTATCTTTCAACGATATTTAGTGCCTCCTGCATCCTCAAATTTACCGTTTACTACGATGCTTATGTCGGTCGTCTGCAAATGCTTGTGAGTATAAATTTTCTAACTCCCATAAGAGGCCATCAACTACCAAGGTCCACATATGTGGGCATCCCTTGTTAGCTGAGACCTCTCTTGTTGTGTTAAAAAGATTACTGGTAATGGTCCTATGATTAAGCATGAACTCAACCCACTTCGTAATGCAGTATGCTACGCTACGCTTATGCATAGATCCCAGTATTGAATTGTAAGAAACATAATCAAAGACTCCTTCTACATCTAGGAAAACTCGTAGTCCTATTTCTATGCTTTCCAATGCTTGTTCAGCCTGTTGAGCTAGCCTATGTATGGCTGTATCGGAAGACATTCCAGATTGGTAGGCAAACTGGTATCGGTTTATCCCGTAGAACATCGTCCCGTATACTGCCCTACTAAGCGAAAAGGGGGTATCTGTGATTTATAGTGTCTTGAGTTTAGCAGGTATTAAGATTTCATTTAATGCCATTATTATTTTATGTGCAATATTTAAGTTAAAAGCGAAAATATATACGGTTTTTTTCGTTTTTTTTTTTTTTTGATGAAAATAATACAATTTATTTATTTATATTTTTTTCTAAAATAATTGTAGTTACCCCTATTCTGCCTTAACAAATGCTTACGAATTACTAAAATAAAAAAACAGTATCTACATACAAACGTTTATTTTTAAATGGTTTTGTTTGAATAACAAGATATTTTCTGAAAAATGACTTGGATATTAATTGGAAAACTATTATTAATCATCATCATTATCATTTTCAAGGCATTGAGTGGTAGGTAGTTCCTTCCAAAAATGTAAACGATTTTTCGGCATAATAGCATTGTCGGCTTCTAAAAGCTTTGAGATAATATTATTACGTCTTTCTTCTGTGATGCCTCTTGGCTTTTCTCCTATTGGTGGAACTGGTATTCCAGTCTTTGTAATTTTGGCATTCAAGAAATTTAATGTTAAATCAGAGCCACTAAAATTGTTTTTATAAAGTAATGACATTGATCCCCTGTGGGCCGTGACTTGAACCATATCATGGATATATGGCCGCGTACTATTTGCTTTTTTCAGTTTGTAAGTGGATGAAAAATCCTGCCAGTCGTAGAAATCGCGGAGTTCCATTTCCAAAACTGTAACTCTGCCAGAATTGGCTTGTTGAACAGCTTGTTTAAATTCTGGAAAGTCATAAACCTTCTTCATTTTCCGTAGAGATTTTTCTACTTGGTGGTGGAATGCGTCGGCACTCATAAATGTGTGGCCTGGTTCGAAGTAATTTATTTCTATTACTTCGGCGGATATATCGGATGAGTTTATTATATAAACTAGAAACGTAAAAAATGCCCAGTTTTTATTCTGTGAAGTGCAATTATCTACCCACAGAATTATTTTTTTCGCATCTCTCTTTAATAAAAAGAATTTGTGAAAGGTACTTAATGGGTGCTATGATTGAACGTTTACGTTATCCGTAACGTACATGTTAGGCCAAATTTTAAAAGTAACGAGGCAAGTTCTTATGATGGAAACCTGTTAAATTAGAACATAACAGGCAGAAAATAACAGTAATGTGTTGGAAAAAGTTTTCCATCGTACGAACTTGCCTTGTTACTGTTAAAACTCGGCCTAACATGTACGTTACGGATAACGTAAACGTTCAATCATACGACCCATTATGTCTTCTTTTTTTCGTCCTCGAATTGCCTCGTGCCAAATTGCGGCCACAGGTTTAATATTTTTGTTCTTAGTTCCTACCGGAACGAAACTTTCGTTATATGCAATCAATCGTGGAATGAATATAACTGATTTGAACATTTCACACAGGGGTAACATTGATTTTTTCCAAATCAACAGAATATGTAACTTCCCCTTCTTCTGGCTCTTTGTTGGCATGTTCTCTGTAAAGCAGCCTTGCATCTTTACTCCGGTTTATATGTTTTGACCACTTCTCGCAGTCGGAACAATCATTTTGTAAATTTTCTTCTGAATGAGGATGGATTTTAAAGTTTCACACATTTCGCATTCTTCGTGACCCAAACGTTACAAAAGATATATTTAACTTTTGTACTATTGAGCGATACAAATCGTACGAACAAGTTATTTTTCGATTGCTCATTTGAAAATCGCCAAACATATCTTTTATGTTTACATCGCTTGGTAAATAACGTCGCTTGGGTGCATGTTCTCTACGATAATGCGATATCGATGGGTGGAAAGACTCTATATGTTTTTCAATTATTGCATGGTCCAATTTATTATGAGGTACTTTTCCACGATTTCTATGTGGCTTTGGAGCGAGCAATGAGTTCGAAGATGTACAAAATCTTTGTAGAATTTTGTCGTTATTTTTGTGAAACCCTAGAGTGGTAAGAAAAAAGGTTCTGCACACTGGTTTACATTCTCCGTCTGCTGTTTTTAAAGAATACATTAGCGTATGAGATCTGCGAGACTCTAATCCAACCGTTTTACGTTTCACGCTTGTCTGGCTGATGCACGACAGCATAAATTGGTGCTGTTGTTCGCGGTCTAGATTCCAGAACTGATTATTTATATCAGTTCTTCTTTCTTGATTTATCTTCCTGTTACATTTTTTCTTACATTGATCACCACATCCATCCCTAACTGAATGTGAATCCCTTAGTTTATTTCGTTTAATTATTTTTCTTTCTTCGGTTGAATATTTAAATTTTTTACGCCTTCGTTGTTCCCCTTTTTTAGTAATGCGAGTTTCTATTTCATTTTCATTCCGTTCTTCTTTTTCTCTTCCATTATTTTGAATCACGTTTTCCAAATTGTCAGGTTCAGGCACTTCTGGGTATTCTTCATGATTATGGGTTACTAATTCATGATTGTTCTCCACTATGGCCTCCATTATTGTAATATTTGCTCCCAAATTCTTGTCTACATCGATGTGGACGTCATTTTCTGCCAATTCACGCAAAACCAACGTAGTTGCTTCGCTTTCATACCGTTCTTCCATTTCTTTTCCATTTTCTTGAAACGCGTTTTCCAAATTTTCAAGTACATATTCTTCTGGGTTTTCATCACGGTTAAGAGTTATTAATTCATTATTGTTCTCCACTATCATGCCTTCCATCATCATAATATTTATTCCCAAATTCCCGTCTACTTCCATTTGTATGTCATTTTCTACCAATTCACGTAAACCCAACGCATTCTCTTCATATTCCATTAAATTACCAGTTATTTTGAATGTTTCTGGATCTGGAAGTTTATGGGTGATATTTTTTGTATCCGAAAAATTTGCTGGAATTTGAATATCGCTATTCTCCAATAAAATAACTGGCGCATTTTCAATAATATTTTCCCAATCTGTACTATTTGTTGGGTTCGTAAGAGCCGAGGCAAGAGCTATGTCAAGCAGCTTTTTCCCCCTACTCATCTGAAATAAAAAAAAACTTTTGCAAGACTATGTCCATAAATTTTTAATAAAATGCAATAAACGCAAAATCGAATTAAATATTTAAACATCTTCAGTTTGTTAAAACAATACAAAAAATCAGAAACGCATTATTCACAACGAAATCCATAATACTTTTTGCGTAAAAGAGATCAGAATATGCAAAACCAAAGTCTTCTTTATGCAAACATTATTTTGTTAATATTTTAGGTTATGGTAGTAAAATTAAGAACTTACCTCTAAATCTGTAGTAAATCACTTTAAAATTATTGTATGTAATGTTCATATACACAATTAAAAATATTTCCAACGTTGTTTTATCCCGAACTAACAAAAATAAACGAAAAAAATTAAAAGAAATACAATTTTTTTTCAGTGGGCGATTAGAACGTGCTCACAGTTTAAAATTAAGTGCAATACTAATCACAATATTAATACTAAACGACTTTGACAATAAGTGACGTTTACTAAGCAACTTCAGCCGTAACTGCATAAGGTCGTGTAGATACCACCATTATTGTCTAGTATTGCTACTTCCCGCCCAAATGCTTAGTATATACTGTATGCTTTGTAGATACGGCTAAACTTATAGTCTAAATTATAATATTTGTAGTATAGATACGGCAAATTCACTCTAGTACTAGATAAAATAAAGTGCCTTGAATGGCTAGACATAAATATCTCATATTTCGAAAAAATGTAGATACCCCCTTTTCGCTTAGTAGGGCAGTATATATCTATCGTTCAATTTATCCAATGGTTTTAGGAGAAATGATGTTAGGCTGATTGGTCTGAAATATTTGGTCTCCGCGTAAGACGCTTTCCCAGGTTTGGGAATGAAGACAACTCTTGCAGACCTCCAGCTTTATGGAACATATTCGAGGGCTATGTTAGCTCGGAATTATTTACACGGTGGTCCCTCTAGTACTTCCTGGTACTTTTGTAGAAGTGCCGGAATTATATCATCAGGTTCAGCTGTTTGATGGTTGAAAGGAATTCATCGTCCATATTTGTTCTGTTTACTATTGAGTTTGCAAGAAACCAGTTTGATTTTTGAGGCCCTAGGAACTAGTGCCTTGATTCTCCTGTTCTTTTGATCAAGGATAATCTCACATCCAGGAAAGTATAACCTTAGTAATAACTCTAAAGTCTCCTTCTCTGTCTTAACTATTCTGGAAGGCTTTCAATGCCGTCCAGGAAGTTTTCTTTGGCTTTTCTAATGGCATAACCATATTCTCTCCCGTACGCCTTGTAGGCTTCCCAGTTCCCCGACCTTTTGGACAGGCATGTCAAACGGATACTCCGAATTGGTATGTGGATTCATCGCATTTTCTATCAATTACTTTGCCCAAATCGTTAATATCTTTCGGTGTTACCATACAAACATTACATGCCTGAGTAGATGCAGTGTTGGTAAGTACATTACATGTTTTACCGTCAAGCATGGTGCATAATAACTTATGATAAAAATGTATTTCTCTCTGGTCACTTAGAATGATTGTGGTCGATTTGGGTGCCGCGATCTGAGATTTTATCATATTCTTCTTTCATTGATTCATCGCATTCCTTTTTCAGAACAAATTTATTTGGGCGACAGTTCGATATTGGGGATGATCTCAAATTTTTCCAAAATACCAACTTTCTTCCATCTTCATAGTCAATTGAGATTTCTAATGGCACTAGTGTACACAAAATCACGTTAGAATCTGCATACAGTGTGGATAAATTTTGCTTATAAAGACTGTATCCACCACTACCATTTAAACCCCACTTATACATCACACTGATATCTTTAATATTTTCTGAGATCCTCAGTAAAACTTGTGCTAAACGTTTGATGGTTAGGTCCACCAGATCTTGAACTGGTATATGCACCTCAGTATATGCACCACCGAGATTGTGATGTTGGCCGGGTAACATGTCTTTGTGACGTGACCGATTACAGCATAGCTGGGATATATATTTACTTGTTTCTTTTTCGCTCCTCTTTGGATTCTTATATCATCTTTGCTTAAACTACAGTCTACGATTAAAGCTAATGCTTCTTCTGGAGTGTACATAGCCATGGATGACAAAAGTAGCAAATTATGAATCTCTTTAATTTTTTTCTTTGTGCTCGGAGAAGAGTTTGTAGCTAATTTCAAAACTTGCGCCGAAGCTGTTTCGCCACTTTTGAACAGACTCATTTCTGTAGCTTTGCAAAGTGTTTATTTGGATATGCTTGACACAAGAGGTTCTATTTTTCTTAACTTCGACCATATAGAGCTCTCCTCGAAAGATTTTTGGTCTACCATGTTTTTGATCATTTCTTGTTCTGCTGTGGATGTTGCAGAGATATTACGAGTCCAATCTAAGAATTATTATTTATTTATTTACGGGCAAGCCCATTTGAGAAATAAATTACAATTATAAAATTATAATTAAAATGTAGTGAAATATATATGGTGCTTAAATACAATCGTGGTATAATTCATAAAATAGGTTAAGAATTTAAAAGACAAAAGACAATAAGGTTGAATAAAATATTTACATTAAAATTAAAGATCAAAAATTAAAGCTCAGTACTAAGCCCTAACAACTATATATTGGGACAAAACAAAATACATCAATTATATAAGTAGTTGACAGTTATTTTTTTCTAATAATTGTTCTTTTATTTAATTACTGTTTATTTAATTAATTAGCAACAATTTTGGTCAATCTGCACCAGAAAAAAATAAAATACTTATTCTATAATCACTAATTAACATAATTAACAAGAAAAAGGTGCATTTTGTGTGGCAACTAAATAATGGGACATAGAACAAATTTTTATTTTTAAAATGGAGTAACATCGCCCTTAGATTTTATGACCGCTCGAATTCGTTTGGGCATTGACTCGATCAAGGATCTGCACTGTTCGGGGGAAAATGCATTCCAAATCTGCTCTATTTTGTCTTTAAGTTCTGGTAATGTCCGTTGTGGGTTGTTTCTCAATGACTGTTTTATTTTATGCCATACTGTTTCTATAACATTAAGGTCAGGACTGTTGGAAGGCCAAGAGAGGACATTAACATTGTGGTCTCCGAACCACTTTTTGGTAGTTTTAGCCGTATGACAGGCCGCCCCATCCTGTTGAAAGATATAATTTTCAACAATATTTAACTTCTCTACACTTGGCAGTAGACTGTTTTCAAGTATTTGTTGATATTTTGCGGCATTCACGGTACCATCAATAAATTCAAAGCATCCTAATCCGATGCAGCCATACAACCCCAAATCATTACTCCTTTAGGAAATTTTACAGTTCGTTTTAAGCAATCTTTGTGAAAAGCCTCATTCTTAGTGCGAATTACCCGTTTACGGTAATCACCAACGCATACATCGAACTTCGATTCATCGCTAAAAATTACCCGAGACCAGTCTTCTACTGACCAAGACAATTTAGATTTTGCCCATGTAAGCCTGGCTTGCTTTTGTTTTGCTGTTAATAGTGGCTTTTCCTTTGCCTATAAGAATATTACATTTTTAAAAACACCTTTTTAAATTGTTACCTGTAAATTTAACCTTATAAAACTTAAGTCCACTTTTATGTATCCACTTGCGGCAGCATTCCCTTGACAAATTTAGACCCGTTTCATGATTCCACTCAGCTGTAACTTGTCTTAAAGTATTTCTTCGGCCTTTTTTGCATAATTTTACCAAGACTCTCTTATTCCTGTCCGAAACTACTTTTGGGCGACCTGGACTTTTACGTTTTTTTTCCAAGATATTTCCATTCTCTCCATAATGTTTAATTATATTCCACACTGTAGTTTTAGGTATATTAAATTCAGCCGCTACTACACGTATTGTTTTATTGCGACAATAACTTTTAATCACTAATTCACGAATTTTTGAATTTGTAGAGATATCACGCACCATTTTGTTCAATACAAAATAAACTGACATTTCTTTTATGTATTGTTCTCGCCGCCTACTGGTTTAATCTTGTTTGATATTTGACAGTTATTTTATGCTGTCCCATTATTTAGTTGCCACACAAAATGCACCTTTTTCTTGTAAATTTCAGATTATAGAATAAGTATTTTATTTTTTGTGTTGCTGATTGTCCAAAATTGTTGTTAATAAACTAAATAAACAGTAATAAAATAAAAGAACAATTAGAAAACAAAATAACTCTCAACTACTTATATATAATTGATGTATTTTGTTTTGTCCCAATATATAGTTGTTAGGGCTCGTAATTGCTTTATAAATTTATGAAAGGGGGTGTTAAATATCTCAAGATCGTTATGAGTGTTGGCTAATCTTAACATTCTTGGAATACAGCTGCTAAAAGTATGGTTTAAACGATAAAAAGGTACATAAAATGTTTGTTGCTGTCGAGTTGAGCGCGTTGGAACATAAAGATTTATTTTTGTTAGAAGTTCAGTACAGCTGCATCTGCCATTGATAATTTTGAAAAGTAATGTCAGGTCTCTCTGTTTCCTCCTAGTTTCCAAAGAGGGGATGTTTAGAAAATTCTCTATCAAATCATACTCGCAAAGGACACCCACAATTTATAGGCTATGTATCTAAGAAATTTATGTTGCACATTTTCTATGTTTCTGCTGTGCGTTATGTAATGCGGAGACCAGACAGAAGAGCAATAATCTAGGTGAGGTCGGACTAGTGAACAATAAAGGACTTTAATTGCAGTTGTGTCAGTAAAATCATGTGTTAGCTTTTTGATAAAACCTAACATTTTCATGGATTTATGGATAGCCTTAGGTATGTATTGATTGAAGCTTAAAGTGGGATCTAGAATAACTTCAAGGTCTTTAATTTGATTAACAGACTCCAAGATATGACTATTTAAGTTATAATCAAAAGTAGTAGTTGGTACATGGGATCGATAAAAGCGCATGACATGGCACTTTATAGCATTCAAATCCATGCCATTTAAGGCACACCAGTTTGATAGATTATCAAGGTCAGACTGAAGCCAGAGGGCATCATAAATAGTTAGGAAAACTTTTAAATCATCTGCAAACAATAGTGTTTTGCGATACTGAAAACAATGAATGATGTCATTTATAAATAAGTTGAATAATAAGGGTCCAAGGTGTGATCCTTGAGGAACACCTGAGGTAACTTAAAATGAGTTTGAATAGTGATGGTTTACTCTAACCATTTGAGTTCTGTCCGTAAGATAGCTACTAATCCATTGCAGTAAGACCCATTTATGCCATATTTATCGAGCTTTTGAACTAAGAGAGAATGGTTAACCCTGTCAAAAGCCTTAGAACAGTCAGTGTACACAGAATTAATCTGGCAACCATTCTCCAAAGCTTCCGACAGGAAGTCGACGTAGGTAACTAGATTTAATTCAGTCGATTTCCCAGCACAAAAACCATATTGATGATCCTTTATGATGCCAGAGCAGTCATAGGTAAGGTAGTCTGTTATAATGTTCTCAAAAACCTAAGGTATAGTACTGAGAATAGATATAGGTCGGTAATTTTTGACGTCTGACTTGCTGCCCGATTTGTATATTGGGGTGACATAAGATAGTTTCCAATAATCTGGAAACTCACCTGTGGCGATAGATTTATTGAAAATATAGAAGAGAGGGCGAGACAATACGAAGCTGCAAGTTCTGAGTAGGATGGGAGGAATAATGTCAGGACCTGGATCTTTCTTTAAGTCAAGATTAGATAATGTCTCGTAAATGGTCGAAATAGGAATGTGGTAAGAGGAAACATTAAGTTTTGATTCAATATCGTTAAAATTTAGATTTTGGTTAGTGTAAACTGATGAAAAATGCTTGGCAAACAGATTTGATACTTCACTGCCACAAGAAGCAAAAGAGTCTTCAAGGTTCATATTATCAGGTATGGTGTTATTAGAACTTTTGGTACTTACAAAATTCCAAAAGGCTTTAACATTATTTTTAACAGAAGTTTCAACAGAATGTATGTAATTTGAATAGCATTCTCTAGATATAATCCTGCATTGTGATCTTAACTGACTGAATATTTCATAATTTTGGGGAGTCCTGTTTAGCTTGTAAATATAATGTGCAACCTTTTTATCGTTAACCTAGCTTCCGAGTTGAAAAGAATATGGGAATCTGTTTATAACAAATTTCTTTAAGGGAACAAATAACTCAATTACCGAGTACAAAGGGTCATAAAAAGTAATAATCATGTCTGAAAGTTCCTTTCCTTGAATAAGCGCATCCCAAACCATTGCCTCCAAACATTGGCGTATACCCTCAAAATTGGCGTGGTGAAAATTATAATAATACTCTTCTCCAGGAGCATCACTTGAGTTCATCTTATATTGAATTGAAGTTTCAAGAGGAGGATGATGAACATCAGGAGGGATCAATATTTCAACGGCTACCATAACTATAAGTTACACCGGGGACAAAACAAGGTCGAGGATAACTCCTCTTTGGTTGAGCACTTTGTTGGACTGAAAAAGATTGTAAAAAGCGCATATGTTCGAGACGATTTCGATAGCACCTTCTTCCGATAGTGATGAACTGGGATGAGCTGAAGCTGAAGAGCAGAAATCTTCAATATCTCATGTTGCTGTAGGTAGATTATAATCGCCAAAAATGTAAAACTGACTGACCGGATGTTGCTCATTTAACATTAAAAGTTGATCAAAGTGAAGTTGGTATAAATTAGAATTAGATTTAGGAGGCATATATATGGCCCCTAAAATATGTTTGCAGTTTCTGTGGTCCAAGTGAATAAACAGTTGCTCAATAGATGGGTTAGAGTTAATGATACTCGAGGAGAATGTTTTCCTAACAGCTATTAAAACACCTCCACCTCTGCTAAAGATGCTGGACTGGGGGGAACGATCGTGTCTGTAGATATTAAAACCGTTAAGACCAAGTTCGGCGTCGTTGATATCAGCTGTGAGCCATGTTTCAGTAAGAATAATTACATCGTAGGAAGAATTTGTAACATTGATACATAGTTGGGATATTTCCATCCAGCCATAAAGCATATTTTTTGGTGTATCTTGCGGGTGTACTTTTGCATATCTTTCACTTTTTGATAAGTTTCAACACGAATATCTTTATAAAACATTTAAAACGTTTTTCCCAGCACGTGGGAATTTCTGGTGCATTAAATTTGTTTAATATGTACTGTTCTACCCTTTCAATGCACTTAGAAGTCGACAGTTTAAAGAATTTATCGGTTTT